ATGGTCGAGCAAATCCGATTTCTCGAACCAATTTACCTCTTTTTGTAATATAATCCGATTAAAATCCAACAATCAATTGACATTTTAATCTATGAAAATCAAATTGGTAAATTGTCAATCAATTATTTCTAATTACTGCAGATACTACTGAATTTTGATCGAACAATCGATTTTAGTGGATTGTAACTGTATTTAAAACACTAAATATTAAGTGAATTTGCTAAATAGTAATGACTGCAACTTGAATCTTTTCCTATAATGGTATGTAGCCCAACGATAGATGACTCACATTCGAACTATAGGTGATGCACTTAACTTATGATTCGAAAACTCATTTTAGATATTCTAAATGCCTTTTATGTCTCAGGTCGTGAAGATACGGCGGGAAACGGCCGGAAAGCGCTGGAAATGAAAAGCAGTATTCCGGTCGGTAATAGTTGGATTATTTTCCTGCGGATTCCGATCAGTTTTCTGTGATTTCTGGCTGTAATTTGGCCGGAATACACCGGAAAAATCCGACAACGCCCGACCGGAGTACTGCTTCCACTTTCCAGCGTTTTCCCGTGCTTTCCGGCCAGATACGGTGCTTTTCCCGCATATTTGCGGCCGGTTCCTCCAGTATCCGTCCTCCGGAATCATTGACCTGGGACGTCATAAAATTTATAATTAGTTTATATTGAAGGAGACCTATCATCGGTAGTAAAATTTCTCCAAATTTTTCTCCAGAATTTCTTTTCTGTTATTTTTTATAACTTTTACTAATACTGTTGGTTGTAGTATAAGAATAAATGAAGATACATAATATAATTAGACTAATATACTTCGTTTCCAGTTCTTCGATATAAAATACACAAGTATTCTGTGATTCGACATTTCTTATAGATCTCGCTAGCTGTAAATATACTACTAAAAGTAACAAAAAACGTATTTAAACTCTCTGACAGTATTATATAAGTAGAAAGCACACATTATATGAGTAAAATATATAATAATATCAGCTCTATCACCACTATGTATTTAGACCAGTACTATGTATAAAACCTTAAGTATCTACATAGGACGAATTGAAACTGATTAAAATTTTTTAGTTAATCACAATCGAATTTTAATACTTTTAATCGATTGGTTTTGTCATATTGCCATCTAAGTTCAAAACAATTTATATTGCAGCTTCAAATTTAGGGTATCTGTGAGATTTCAATATTTGAATAACTATATTTTAAACAACAGAAATGTAAAAATCGTAAAAGTTTTGTGGTAAACATTTGACCATCAACAAGAAGCGCTCGCTTTCTATGTTTATGCATTAATTTAATTAACAAGTGATTATTCACTAAAATTGATTAACACGTAAGAAAATGTTGTATGGGATTTATAGTTAACAGTCCTAGCTAAAATATTTGATTTTTTTGATTTTGATCGTTGGGAATTCGTTAGAGGACCATGAAAAATTTGCTATTTTTTTTCTACAGAAGGTCACTAAACTCTGAAAGAAACTTGTGCGCTGAAAATCATGAAGACTTAGATAGTAGCTGAATCAAGATAATAAAAAGATTTTGTACAGTCGTTCTTCACTTTAAATCATTATTCTGATAGGATTTAAACCATTCTTATACAAAATTAGTAGAATTGTACTTGGGTTCCTTTTAAATATGCTATCTCGTGATAATACAGAAATAATCGATTTTCAAAGATGAGCAGACAACCAAAGAATACAGAGTAGTGATATTTGGGTTTTCATTACAGAAATAGATCAGCGTTTCTGGTTGAACTGTGGTATACTATTATGTAAAAAATTATTGTTAGATATTTAAAATTCTTAATTTATGTGAACTGCTACTTGAGTTTCAGATAAAAAGCACTCCCCCGAGTTCCTCAACTGTGATATTAGTCTTTTTTTGTTCAATTGAAAACATGTCACTACATTTTTTTTTATTTTGAATCTAATAATAAAATATTCTCTTTAATGGTGTTTAATGAATAATTGAAATTAAAACACTTTTACTAAAAGATTCTTAACGTGAGGAAAAATAAAGAGGCTCTTGAGAATTTTGTGGGGATCGCTCCAACGAATACTCGTGATAGAAACGAGAGAAGAAATTGAAGTAAATTGTATGTTAAAATAGAGTTTGAATAAATATCACTCGCTAAAAGGGAAGGAGTAATCACATGTAAAATCAGATCGTAGTCAGAATTTTATATTAAAACATCTCTATTTATTTTGCTCTCACCATTTTACTGGAAATATATATAACTGTAACGTAGATAATCTGAGAATGCATTGAAATAGATTCAAGTTGTGTAAATGGACTAAATTTATGACTCTTGTAGGACTCACTCACATAAGCTTAGTTATAGATTAAGAAAACGTTTTCAAGGAATATGAATCAGGCAGATCAGATGGTGTCGTTTAAGCAAACTGAATCTCATCAGCACTGTTACTATGAAGTAGAGAAACTTGCAAAGTTTATCATCAATGTGTGTTATAAGGAGCTAGTTAACTGTTGAGTCGAAGGAAGAAGCCATCTATACGAGTGCTTTTCGGACTTGTCCCTAGATTACATAGGCATAGGATGGAGTCGCAAATTTCCCATAAGTTCTATTCTTAAAAAAATACTATCAGCTCGCCAACATCTACCGTTTCTAAATACCATTGAAAAACTTTCAGTCAACTTTTTTATTGAAACTAAATAGTTAAGCGGCGAAGAAGTAAAGTATCAGCAACAGTAGATGCTAGTGAGTTGATATTCTTTTTTTAAGAATAGAACTTATGGAAAATTTGCAGCTCCATCCTATGCCTATGTAATCTAGGGACAAGTTCGAAAAGCACTCGTATAGATGGCTTCTTCCTTCGACTCAACAGTTAACTAGCTCCTTATAACACACATTGATGATAAACTTTGCAAGTTTCTCTACTTCATAGTAACAGTGCTGGTGAGATTCAGTTTGCCTAAACGACACCATCTGATCTGCCCGATTCATATTCCTTGAAAACGTTTTCTTAATCTATAACTAAGCTTACGTTTGTGAGTCCTACGAGAGCTAACGTTCATGAATCACAATTGTGCGAATTGATTATTATGTTTTTCTAATCGATTTTTATTGATTACAATCAAAATTATCAATCGGGTTATTCTGCAACAAAATCAAAATTTTAATCGATTAGGATCGAAATTGAAATCACTCCCAATCGATTATAATTTTGATTTTGTTGCAGAAAAATCCGATTACCAATTTGGATTATGCCCAGAGGATTTTGAAATTATAATCGATTTTAATCCCTAAAATTTCTCACTGGGTTCTACTAATTTCAATTTTAAGATTGCAGTAAAAAGTATAACAATCAGTCCTACAAATGCCTGATGCTTCTGTTAGTTTCTTTTAGTATTCATCTGTATAAATCTAATCAATTTGCTTTAATTATTCAATTCTAAATGCAAAACTATTTTGTCATAAACCTTCCCATTGTCTCTAAACCCGAAACTGTTTCAATTAGTTACAAATCTGAGGTTTATTCATTTAATATTGTGATCTAAATCTCGTCCTATAATAGAAGACCGGGGCTGTTTTATTGTGTGAAGGCGTTTACTTGTAGCTCACGCTCTAGCTATAGATCGTACAAAAGAAAAGAAATTATTTTGTCTACTAGATGATTTTTAAAAATAGCATCTGTAAATTTATAATAACCGTTGACTTTCATTATTTTTAGTCGAATTTAATGTTTGATAGAATACAAAAGTTGTTAAGATTTTAATGAGCATGAAATAATATGTTTACTTTCTATTTACAACGTAGTTTTATTTTTAATTTGATAAAAATGCTTAACACATCGAATACAATTAAATGCGACACAATAATAGATCAGAAGATTAGGATAACTAGTTGTTTTTTTGTCTGAAAATGTTGAGACGTGTTTTCTTCTTCTTGTTATAGAAGACTCTTTTCTTAATTGAATTGGAATAGTTCTAATAGCATGTACTGTTTCCCTTCTAATGAATTAGATAATCACGATTAATCACAGGTACACTTAGTTAAGTACATGTCATCTTAGACATTTGACGACAAAGTCGCAGCATGTAGAACCAAATTGCATATACCCAGGAGCATAAATAGGGGGGGGGGGTGCGCGTGGGGCGTACCCCGGCGCCG